TTTCACTACTTCATGCAAAATTTTAACCAAGATGCAAGATGATTTAAAGAAAACTTTCAACATGAAAGTTGTAGATCTTGATGATATCTACAACTTTTCTTTGTTGATCAAGTCCTAGAAATGCTTGGACTTTGAGTTGTAAATCCATGAAGTCATGCACTTTTCTAAAACACTTGGTGAAAATTTTGATCAATTTGGTCAGGATTTTGTCCTAACTTCTTGGAAATTTTCACCTAGCTCTAATTTGATTTAGCAAAAGTAGAAAACACGATAGTTGTAGAGGATGTTTCAAGCTTTCCAAAATGCCCTAGAACTTAAAGAGATCATTTTTTAGCCAAGAGAATCGAAGAGAAGAAGTTGGGCATCCATTCTTGAATTACAAGTCATTTTTGTAATGAACATTAGATCAAAACCCTAACCTATGTTGCATAACTTCACTTTGCAGGCTTCTAACTTGTGTTTCACTCCATAATTAATTGATTACACAACGGTTAGAGCTATTGTTCAAGCATTTGAACCATTATCCAAGTTGCATTTCCATTTATGGCACAAAGACACCATTGTCATTCTTGAAAAGTTGCTTTAATCACAAAGTCAACTTGTCTTGAGCATTGTACTTGTTCTTTCTGCACAAGCATCCTCTATAAACTCAAAACAAATATGTTTAAAGTTGCTAGCCACCCTACAAGCCATGTACATTGCATTGAAACCATGTTTGTCAAGATTACTTCAAAAACAAGTCAAAATCCATAAACATGTGATCTTTTGATTCTGACTACCTCAAGCCTCCAAACCTTCTCCTATAAATTGAGACATTATTATGCAACTTAGGATAGGAATTGGCAAGCACTAAAACTCCCTCAAACTCTCTCAAACTCAGAATCATCAAAAACATCTCAAAACTTGGCAATTCTGATTTTGAAATCCAACCTCCAAATTCCCTCGTGCGTTTTTCATTCTAACCCTTCAAACATCATCTATACACTATATAGAAGTGATTCAAACACCTGAATCATTTTTGTAACTCCATTATCACCTTCCTCCATTTACAAAATCAGAAGCCTGCACTTGGACTTCTCCAGCACGATTCAAACATTCTCAGTTCAAAGTAGCTATTGAAATAGCTTCCTAGAGGTACAAGGAAGCTAACTAGATCATTACAACACCTTGAAGTGAGATCTAACTCAAAACACGATATCCACTTGTAAGATGAGTTTTCTGATTTTTTAATTCTTCATACATGCATCATTTGATTTCCATTTTCAAAGATAAAATATAGACATCATGGCCCTGAAGCTAGCCATGCTCTTAGAATTTATTTATATTGCCTGAGTGATGTGAATTTTAAGCTTGAACTTTCTGGAAAAAAATAGGTTAAATTTGGTACCAGTTAAAATTCGTGTTCATATTTGATTCATTGCTTAAGTTAGTTACATATTTAGAATCGTGGTGAAATTTCTAACAAGTTTGATGTTCGTACTTTTGAGAATGATTGAGAAATGAATAAGTAGTAGAAGTTCTTGTTGTCGCGAGGAAGAAGATAAAGTTTCCTTTAGAACTCAGTTTATCTTATATTTATTATAACATGTTTCTATACCGGATGAAACAGTCACCCCAGTGACAAGAAGCGCGCGCGTAAGACATTCCTCTATAAGGTCCTGGGTTCAAACCCTAGCAAGACCTTTTGCGTTTTCAATATTTTCCTTGTTTTCTATTTTTTGTTTGCAACGCGCCTGGACCTCTTTCACATTGGACCATTCATTTTTACTCACCATCACCCCTCTATTTCTCCATGCCACGCAGCCCATTTATATTTCTTTTTTTATTTTATTATCTTGCTGATTTCAAAAACAAACTTTGGGCCTAATCTATTTTTACTTTCCAACCTCCAACATTCTTTTTTCAAACCCCCCTGACTCCTAAATTTATTTTATTATTTTATTTCATGATTATTATTTCTTAATTAAAAAATACAAAATATATTATTTTCTTAAATAATTAAAAAAATAAAAATACTTTTGACTTACTTTATCTTTACAAATAACAAAAAAAAACCTAAAAATATTTTCTTTCTTAAAATTAATTAAAACTAATTTAGGCTTAGATTTTAGTTTTATCTTTTAAATTAACTTAGACTATAATTAATTAACTTATTTTTTAATTAATTAGTTTAGTTAAAACATTTTCATACAAAAAACCATTAAAAAAATTTGTCTTTTTAATTCAATATCTTTCTATCCTTGTACATTTTGTTTGGTATTATTTAATATGATTGTAATAGTAATTAGGTTTTAATTGCTTTCATCCACATTCGTAATTTGTATCCTCATCCCCTAAATGATGTAATAACGTAGAACTTTAAATTCCGCAATTTATCGCTTTTAATATTATTGCTAGTAATTATGGTTTATATGAAAAGACATAAAATCAAACAAATAGACAACCCTAATTCAAGACAAAAATGCATGAAAATAATACACCTCGCACACTTGCACCTCTAGGGTTAACCCACACTTGTTGCCTTAGAATTAAGTAGGTAAAACATTCATAGTTGCTTGCTCACAAACATTTCAAACAAAACATCTTTCAAACACACCAACACTTTCATGAAATATTTTCAAAAGTCAACACTTTGTATACATTCTTATAGAGACGAGAATCATTACAAAGTTCGCCTAAACAAAGACAATTTTCAAAAATACTTTCAAAACAAACACAAACATATTTTTTTGCAAAACATTTCAAAGTGGACTAGCAACTAAGAGCTCGTAGATAACTACGGATGAGAAGGGTGCTAACACCTTCCCTTTTCATAACCTACTCCCCGAACTCAAGAAAATTCTCAAAAGGTATTTCCTGTTCTTTTCATCATTTCCTTTATTAGATAAAAGAAAAATCGGTGGCGACTCTTGCTATCCGCAACAATTGCGATCAAACGCAAAACACCAAAGTCAGTTCTCTCACCCTAAGTACGCGCACTTCATAGCACTACCTGATGCATTCTCTGCATCTATGCTTGCTGCTGTATTTTTAGCGGAAGTTTACAAGCTTCATGTTATGCCAAAGACTATTGTGAGTGACCGAGACAAGGTTTTTGTGAGCAAATTTTGGCGTGAACTATTTCGTTTACAGGGTACCGCCTTAGCTTTTAGCAGTTCCTACCACCCTCAAACAGATGGTCAAACGGAAGTAACCAACCGCACTTTAGAGACTTATTTGCGTTGCTTAACTGGGGATACACCAAAACAGTGGTTGTTTTACCTGTCGTTGGCAGAGTATTGGTACAACACCACTCACCACTCTGCCATTAAAATGACCCCGTTTGAAGTCGTCTATGACCGCTCTCCCCCCTCCATTCGTTCCTACATCACAAGGTCCACGGTGGTTGCATCTCTTGATGAAACCTTGGCAAGACCACACCAGATGTTACGGCTCATTAAGGAGAACTTGACGCTGGCACAGATGTGTATGCGTAATCAGGCCAATGTTCATCGACAAGATCGTTCTTTTAAAGTTGATACTTGGGTTTGGCTTCATCTCCAACCATACCGATAAATCTCAGTTCGGGGAAGAGCTTCACCTAAACTTTCAAAGCGTTATTTTGGACCATTTAAAATTCTACAGCGCCTTGGCCCAATTGCATATGAGTTAGCATTACCAAACACGGCTCGCATTCACCCGGTTTTTCATGTTTCCAAGCTCAAAAAATATTACGGAAAACCGCCTTTGGTCACTCCTTCTCTGGACCCATTCGTCATAGGCACCCGGGTTGCCCTCCAACCTGCTCAGATTCTTGGAGCTCGCGAGCTGCAAACACCTACGGGAATGTGCAAACAGTTATTGATTCATTGGGTAGGATTACCTGTCGTTGAAGCCACTTGGGAAGAGATCAATATGCTCAAGGAAACTTATCTGAATTTCAACCTTGAGGACAAGGTTGTCGTGGAAGAACGGAGTAATGATACGAGTTCAGAGCCCCCTTCAAACCAAAATTCTGCTATTGGGCCTAATGAGGTTGGAGGCACAGTGTTGAGAAAGAGTCAAAGGGCTAGAAAGCAACCCGTTTGGATGCAAGACTTTGCCTAAGTGAAATTTCTACAGTGCTGCCACCACTTTCTGTTTTACTTTTTACCTTTTCATTTTAATTATGTACTAGAAGTTTCCACTTGTATTGATCATGTAGCAGCTATCATGTGATCCGGAAATCTAGGGAATTTGTTAGAATGATTTCCATTTCCTTATAACCATCTTTTACATGAATGAAAGGTAGCCAAAAATTTCTTCCAATTTTACATTGGATTCTAACCTCTTTCTTCTTTTCTGGAGTTGCTCTAACTCGAATAGAGCCGATAGGTTAATACCCTATCATCCCTCTATTTATAGATTTAGGTTAGCCAAAGCCCAAAATTATAAAAGTCCAAAATATTTATCTTGATACTAAATCAAATCTATATTGAATCTGTATCAAATCTATGTGTAGCTTACTTCGATCCAGAAGCTCTTCGACAGAGTAATAATGGCTTCCTTCAAACAATCTGCTTCGATCCCCCTCTAAACTCTTCGACACATAATTTCAGCACAATCGAATTACAATTTAACAATAATAAGTCATAAACAACAATTCACGTACCGACATTTTCTCACATGATAATAAGTCAGAAACAACAATTTACATACCAACATTTTATCATCCAGCACAAGGATGGTAGGATCTCTTTTTGTACCACCATCCACTTTCAGCTTACAAGAAGCCTTATTCAAGAGTTCAAAAACACACTCTTGTAATCTATTGTTTGTTTTTAATAATATTCCGCTCATTGCTTCATCATAATTGCTTCATTGCTTTTCTCCACAAAAGCCTCCGAGAATTGTTTTAAGAAGACCCCTATTTATATATTTATATCTAATTTCAATTCAAATGTTAGATTAGTGATAAGTTTTTCAAACACTGCCTCAAAATTCTTGCAATTCACAAGTTCTCCTTAAAGTAAGCACCTCCATCATCCTAACCACGAATCTTCAAGGGTTCTGTGAAGATATATAACATGACAAATGTGAAGATATATAACATGACAAATGTACCGATAACAATTTGTATCTTAGAATTAAAACTATTTTCCTCTACCATGTCATGCTATTATAAATTGTACTATTTTAAATTCCTTAATAAAATTTATGTAGAATGTTGCATTGAGGACAGGTTGTTCTACCGAATTCAAAATGTGCAGGATGTACATATATTCTTAAATCAAAGTGTGTGAAGATTTATTTATGAAAACAATGGTAGTATACCTCAACAATTCTTTTAGATGAACATCAATTTTCCATCGTTTCTCTGAAACTGATGCACTATAGGAACCTTCTGTTTGGGCATCCTTTTGAAGAAATGTTCTGATATCTGGAACTATGCCATCAACAAAAGAAGTGCCCCTCTATGTATCCGCCTTCTTATCTGAACCAAATGTAAAATTATAAATTACCTTGTTAAACATCATATCTTGTATGTTATACATATATAATCTCACAAGCTACGTACTTGGTGAAACAGAATAAACGGATAAAAACACTACAATCGGTTCCTTTTCAAAACTCAACCGTGATACCAAAATCCAAGTTTGAATATCTTTACCAGAAAAAATCTCTTGTATCAAATTAGTATAAGTGTTGTCAAGTAAACTAATAATGACTATTGTCATGGCTGAAAGACCTTTCAAAACCTGGTTTGCATGTTCTGCAATCTCTTCTATAGACGTGGGAAAACTGAAACAAGTAGCATTTGAAATTTTGAATATATTCTGTTTTATAATGCAGCAAAAATAGCGGTTACCTAAGTAATCCGGTAACAGAAGACCTGCTATTATTTGAACCCTGAAATTGAACTTATAATATTAACATTGGGATGTATCGTATACCACATAAAAGCAGCATTCAACATTGAACAATAAGCAAAAAAATATCATGTATTTGTGCTCATAGAAAGCATAAAAATAATCATTCTATTTCGGAATTATTGTCATTACTACCAAATATATGCTTTTCCAATAATCGAAATCTTGCAGAAATAAAAATTGCAGTCAAAATCTACCATCATACCTCGCATCTCTCTGACAAATGTGACCGAGACTGAAAAGTAAAATGTGTTCCAACTGAAGCTTGGTGGAAATATGAGCATAGTTTTCTTTTGGTAAGAGTTGGGATGTCACATATTACAGAATTTTGGTTACTCACGGCAGAAACTGTGCACATCACAGCAAGCAATTTAGACACATGTTGCATATATCATTAGCACACTAAAGTCATAACCTCCTCAATTGATAAAAGAATAACACTAAAAGAAGATATCAAAAAGCTGAAAGTCAAGGCAGGTCAACAAGTTCATTATAAACAATAACTATGATATCAAATTTCTGATGTTATTAAAACTGATATATTACATGAACTGGATACTTTCTACAGCCTATGTGGGTTGCTGCTATGTTGGAAACTTCTAAAGTTTCAATTATCATTATCAACATGAAAGAGGGTAATAGTTGAGTCTTGCATAATAGAGTTTTAGAAGTTCAAAACATATATTCTTCGGATTTAATCTTGTTTAATGCTTTGAGAGTTATAAGGACAATCCAAAACAACCCAATATTCATAATTATGAAACTATACCCAATCAAATAGTTAAACCAATTGAGCAAAAACTGTCGCAAATAATAACAAAATGGAGGCAAATAATAACAAGATGGAGAATATAACCTTTTGCAAAAGTCCAGGAACCTCACGACAAAGTACATAGGCTTGCATTAGCCAAGATACTGAGTCTTTAACATGGATGATATCAAGAAAGATGTTGCTGAAGGGAAAAACCAAAATGTTAGTGATAAAGTGACATGCTTTTAGAACAACATACTAAAACTTCATAAATATAATAATGCATGTGTTAATACAACTGCAGGAGTACAATAAATGAAATCCAAAATATTGCTAAAATTATGGCAGCTAATGGCATATAGCAAGTAAGGCATAATTTCCAATGGTACATTTTCAGTTTGTAGTCAAAACAAAATACCTTCCAGACTTAGACATACAACACTTCCAAGTAAACCAGCATATGTTGTAAATTAATTCAGCACGCTCCACAACAAACACATCTCTTGGGCACTCCTAAAACAAAATGAGGAAAGTGAAATGAAGGAACTTCACCCCGAAAAGATATGCTTCTTATAAAATTTTCACGTGCTTCATCAATTTTGCCGAGATTGGCAAGGCATCTCCCTGTGAGTGAACAAACATATTAGGAAGACACTACCCATGATTTTTTAATATCAAATGTCCGAGTTTGTTAAGTAAAAGACTAAAAGTATGAAATGGGACTCATACCTAATCGAATATGTAATCTAATTAAAAGCTTTCTTCGAATAAACTCCCATTTTAGATCAATACAATCATTTAAGGGCCAAGACAACCCACGTTTAGATGAAAGAAAGGGCCAACACTGCATTTTGCAGAAAGCACAAGTTTCATCACACTCGGAACCCATGAGGCAAATACATTTTAAAACTTCAATTTCAGAGTTCAAACAACTTCCAGAGTTTGGATATTTAGCTTTAATTAAGTTGTCCAGAAATAATTGGAACATATTTTCTCCATCTCCTTTTTCAATGTACTCTGACAAAGTGAATTCAAAAAACAACGGACAGTTTGAGCAACAAAATATTGTCTTATCTAACAATCCACATTGGGTTGTCTAAGTATCCAATTTACTTAATAAATCACATGACAAAAGTGAAAAATCAATTTCTTATCATCTAGAGAGTGAAAAAGCATAAGAACTTAAGGCTACAAGTATACTCAAGATGGAAGAAAAAGCAGCTACAAACAAAGGTAAGTCAAGTGACTTGGATACAACTCTTCCCTCTCGAATACACCGTTCAGCCTCAGTTCCATCTCCAATCATTTCATAGATGATTCCATGTTAAAAAAAAAACTGCAAAGGGCTCTCAAGATAGCCTTGCAAAAATTTCCAATGACCGATATAAGTGTCACTTAAGTTCTCTAGAAAAGAATCAAACTTAGAAACTTCTTTAGCAATGAATATATTCATATCCATAATGTTCTTAGAGAAATCCGTCACTCAACTGACATGTAATCTTTATGTAATCTTTGAGCCTCTTTAGCATATGAAAGACCTAGTATGTAAAAAGAAATACAAAATAGACTCATAAGTTGGAAAACAATTGAGGAAAAAACTAATACCGAAAACCCTTAGACAAATATGAAGTATGTATCGGAAAAAAACTAATACAAGAACAATTAGACAAATATGATGTATGTATCATATAAAAGTTATCTTTAATCATGTTAAAGCATGATAAAATTTAAATCAAAATTATTTCTCTTACCTCTACTAACCGCCCATTTGCGATTAGTAAAGATACCCAACAAGAAAGGTGGAAACAAAATTTCTGGACATAATCAAAGAGAATATTGACAGAGCAAGTGTGAGAATTAATTTAAAACATTAATATGATAAATTGTCTTACAAGAACCTTACCATTAAAATCAGTTCATTTGCAGCATTACAAATTGTAATTTCTCTATGAACGGATTTTCATTACCTTTAGGATTATTATCAAAATTTGGAAATAAAAAGGAGAAATTTAGTTGCAACCCTAGTTTGAATTATTTTCTCTAAAATAATGCATTCATGGGATGACTAAGTCTTCTGCTTTGCCACACTAGGATCAATTATTTTCCATCTTTGGCCTTAAGACCCTATAAAAATATAGTTGAAAGCAGAAGACTATCATTTTATTATAAATATTGTGCAAAAACAATAGAAAACAAGATTACTCAAGAAGAAAAAACAGATCTTTGTAAAAATCAAATAGTGTGAAGTATGCACACTATGCTTTTATCCCATAGATAAGTCACCCCAATATGTCGGTTTAATGTATGAGTTTCTGAACATCTAGGAGTTTTGCGTATACATGTTGCAAGAGTAAGCACTTGAATTTTTTTTTTTTTTTTGCATTTTCTTACCATATCTCGATACTTAGTAACCAATTTCATATATATCATCAAAGAAAAAATATATTCGTTGAAACTTGATACAAATTTAATATAAACAACACGCAAAAAAAATTTATGCAAAAGCATTAAGAAGTTGATCACCTTTTCCAGAATTGTTAAAGTGTTCTTCTTTGACTATTATAAATACTCCAACATACAATATAAGGGGAGAGAATCAACATTCTCATCGCTATCAATTTCATGAAGGTCACATTGAATTTGCACACATATATAAAGTAAAAGTAAATTTAAACCGGAATAGGTTGAATACTAACTAGTAAATATTTTCTAATAATACCTTAAGCCATGTCTTAACAATGTGCGAGAGAATCGAAAGATTCACTGACTTGTCATTAATGAACAATAATCTTATTAAAAGAAATTGGATTATTTTTCCTGGATCATCACTATCATGAAGTAGTTGAGCGCTTCTTAGGCAAACACAAGATAAAAGATCTTCTAATTCTGTCAGTGACAATTTCTACAATCACAACAATATATCTTAATAATTCATCGTAATACAAATGTAGAGTTGATCAAGCATTTCTACAATCACAACAATATATCTTAATAATTCATCATAATACAAATGTAGAGTTGACTAAGCCTGCACATAAACTAAAATGCATCATTTCACTAATATAAAAAATTAACAAAGCGAATAAAAAAAGTAAATTAACAAAAGCAAATAAAAGACAAATTAAAAAAATTAACAAAAACAAATAAAAGTATATTATAAACTGTAAATAAAAGTAAATTATGAAGTAGCAAGACTTTTAAATTCAGCGTTAATAAATGGAATGTCAAGGATAAAAGCCACGATTTTATATCTAATGTTCTGCACAACTATCAATAGGGTTGACTTAACCAAACATGGGTCTAATACAGAAGTACTGTTGTTATGCATGGGTCTAATACAGAAGTACTGAGAAACTTATTTGAGAGGCTCGATAATTTTTCTGAATATTTGAAAGGAAAAAAAATTGAAAGAAAAGATATTATTATCTCAATTTATTTAAAATTCAAATAGTATGTTCTACGATATATATATATATATATATATATATATATATATATATATATATATATATATATATATATATATATATATATATATATATATATATATATATATATATATATATATATATATAACGAAATATTTAATTATTATTATTATTAACTTTTATACTTTGATTTTACATTTATTTTATTTTGTTTTTTAAATGAAAATAAATATTCTTAACTTGTTTATTTCAATGTAAAGAGCATTATTGTTTTGTTAAGTCAACTATGTTGATAGTTGTGCAGAACATTAGAAATAGGATCGCAGTTTTTATCTTTGACATTTCATTTATTAATGTTGAATTTAAAAGTCTTGTTGCTTCATAATTTACTTTTATTTGCAGTTTATAATATACTTTTATTTGTTTTTGTTAATTTTTTATTTTAATTTTTCTTTTATTTGCTTTTGTTAATTTACTTTTTTATTCGCTTTGTTAATTTTTTATATTAGTGAAATGATGTATTTCAATTTATGTACGGGCTTGGTCAACTCTACATTTATATTATGATGAATTATTAAGATATATTGTTGTGATTGTAGAAATTTTGTCACTGACAGAATTAGAACGTGTTTTATCTCGTGCTTGCCTAAGAAGCGTTCAACTACTTCATGATAGTGATGTTCCAGGAGAAATAATTGAATTTCCTTTAATAAGATTATTGTTCATTAATGACAAGTCAGTGAATCTTTCAATTCTCTGGCACATTGTTAAGACATGCGTTAAGGTATTATTAAAAAACATTTACTAGTTAGTATTCAAATTTATTTTTACTTTATATATGTGTGCAGATTCAATGTAACTTTTATGAGATTGATACTAATGAGAATGTTAATTCTCTCACCTTATATCGTATGTTGGAGCATTTACAATTGTCAAAGAAGAACACTTTAACAATTATGGAAGAGATGATCAACTTCTTAGTACTTTTGCATAGAATTTTCTTACGTGTTGTTTATATTAAATTTGTATCAAGTTTTTTAACGAATATCTCTTTCATTTAATGATATGTATGAAATATGTTACTAAATATCCGAGATATAGTAAGAAAATGCAAAAAAAAAAAAACTCATACACAACTCCTGCAACATGTAGACACAACTCCTAGATGTTAAGAAACTCATACATTAAACCGACAGATTGTGGTAACTTCATGAGGAATTCTCTATCGGATTAAAGCATAATGTGTCTACTTCCCAGTCTATTTGATTTTTTACAATTAAAGGTCTATTTTATCTTCTTGAGCAATCTTGTTTTCTATTGTTTTTGCACAATATTTATAATAAAATGATAATATTTTGCTTTCAACTATATTTTTATAGGGTCTTAATAAATTCTCTATTGAGAAACAATTGACTCTACTGTGAAAAGCAGAAGACTTAGTCATCCTTTTGTGTATCGCCCGTGGATAAAGACTCCTACAAGAATTTATTAGACGACTCTGGTCAAGTAAAATAATTCAACTTCATTAGAGTTGCAACAAAATTTCTCCTTTTTATTTTCAAATTTTGATAATAATCTTGAAGGTCATGAAAATTCATTCATAGAGAAATTCCAATTTGTGAAGTTTCTAATGCTGCAAATAAACTGATTTTAATGGTAAGGTTCTTGTAAGACAATTTATCATATTAATGTTTTAAATTAATTTTCACACTTGCTCTATCAATATTCTCTTTCGTTATGTGCAGAATAATTTTATTTCCACCTTTTTTGCTGGTATCTTTACTTGTATTTATGCGAAATACTAATTGCAAATGGGCGGTTAGTAGAGGTAAGAGAAATAATTTTGATTTAAATTTTATGATGCTTTAAGCTAACTAAAGATAACTTTTATATGATGCATACATCATATTTGTCTAATTGTTCTTAGTATTAGTTTTTTTTTTATACATACTTCATATTTGTCTAACGGTTTTTAGTATTAGTTTTTTTTCTTCGCGTCTCAATTATTTTCCAACTTATGGTGTCTATTTTGTATTTCTTTTTAAAGTCTTTTATACGCTAAAGAGGTTCAAAAAGTACATGACAGTTGATTGATGGATTTCTCTAAGAACATTATAGATATGAATATATCCATTGTTAAGGAAGTTTTTAATGTTGTTTCTTTTATAGAGAACTTAAGTAACACTTATATCAATCCTTGAAAATTTTTGCAAGACTATCTTGAGAGCATTTTGAGGTTTTTTTTTAACATTCACCGATATGTCTACAATGTGTACTTTATATCATATTTCAAATTCATACATGCATGCAGTTAAGAATTATCTATGAAATAATTGGAGATGGAACTGAGACTGAACAGTGTATCTGAGAGAGAAGTTGTATCCAAGTCACTTTGTTTGTAGCTGTTTTTTCTTCCATCTTGGATATACTTGTAGCCTTAAGTTCTTATGCTTATATGACCATTGCGGTCATAATTTTGAAGTAAAATAAATTAACAGCCTTATAATAAAAAAAAGTAGTAATTTAAAGAAAAATTTGTATTAATTCTTAAAATAAAGAATTATGGTTTTTTTTTAGAATAATGGAGTATGACGCGACATAGCTTTTATTATTATTATTATTATTATTATTATTATTATTATTTTATTATTTTATTATTATTTTTTTATTATTATTAAGTTATTTTTTATGTAATCCACTAAAACCACGTACCATTCCACTAAGTCATTAACTCCATTACTCATCATCTCATATGTTGGGTATTAGGTTTGTTAGGCTTGGTTAGTTTTGGCCCATTTGCTTGTATTGAATATTCTTTGTAGCATATATATATATATATATATATATATATATATATATATTGACTCAGAATAAGATGAGAAAGTTAGAACCCCTTTTTACCTACAAGTAGTATTAGTGAAGACCCACGTTCTGATCTAGACCTTCATTTTCCTACAAACCAAATTTGCAATTTTTCTTTCTCTAATCCTTTCTTCTTCTTCCTCCGTCATTTCTATGGTGGAATCCTCCAATTTCACTCACCTCACCGTCCCTAAATTCAATGGATATTATGAACACTGGTCCATGCTCATGGAGAATCTTCTCCGCTCCAAGGAGTATTAGAGTTTGATTGAGACAAGCGTCACCACAGCATCGGCGGATGCCACTCCGAAACAACACAAAGCTGCTGATGAGAGCAAATTGCGTGACTTTATGGCCAAGAATTATCTTTTTCAATCTATAGAAAGGACAATTCTTGAAACGATCTTGGTTCAAGACACGACGAAGGACATTTAAGAGGCGACGCGAAGGAAGTACCAGGGTTCAACAAAGGTCAAACGCGCTCGTTTGCAATCTTTGTGGCGTGAATTTGAGATTCTTGCAATGGGGGAGGGTGAGTCCGTCAATGATTACTTTGCAAGAACCCTAGCTATTGCAAATCGCATGACTGCGCAAGGAGAAAGAATGTAATAGGTAGCGGTGGTAGAAAAAATCCTGAGATCCATGCCTGCAAAATTCAATTACGTAATGTGTTCTATTGAAGAATCCAATATGTAACAGTCATGTCAATTGACGAGCTTCAGAGTAGTCTTCTGGTACATGAACAAAGAATGTAGGGGCAAAAGGAACAGGCTCTCAAAATGAGTAATGCTGGTAGAGGCAGAGGAAGAAATGCTTCAAGAGATCGTGGTCGAGGAAGACAAAGTAAAGAATTTGTTGAATGCTACAGGTGCCACAAGCTTGGACATTATCGCAATGAATGTCCTGAGTGGGAAGAAAATGCAAACTATGTAGAATTTAAAGAAGAATAAATCATGTTGATGGCATATTCTGAAGGAAATAGAGCACGCAAGGAAGAAATGTGGTACATTGATAGTGGTTGTAGCAATCACATGGTGAGAACTAAAGGTTGGTTCTTTGACTTTGATGACAAGTTCAGAGAATATGTGAGACTTGGAAACGACTCAAAGATGGTCGTTATGGGAAGAGGAAATGTGAAGTTATGCCTTGAAGGAAGAATACATGTGATAACTGATGTGTATTATAGACCAGGTCTGGCTAATAACTTGCTCAATGTGGGTCAGTTACAGCAGAAGAATATCACAGTTGTATTCAAGAACAATATGTGTCAATTATTCCATGGATAGAATGGCTTGATTCTGAAAACATAAATGACAAGCAACTGGATGTATGTTGTCATAATACCAGTTATGACTTCCAAATGTTTTCAAGTCTCAGCCTTGGAAGAAACAAATCTATGGCATAACAGATATGCACACCTCAGCATAAAGGGCCTGAAGACTCTGCATCAAAAGCAGATGGTTAAAAGGCTACCAAAAATGGATGACCTTGAGAGCAAGTGTGATGACTGTTTAGTTGGAAAGCAACACAGAAATAGCATACCAAAGCAAGCAAATTGGAGAGCCTCCAAGAAGCTTGAACTGATTCATTCAGACATCTGTGGATCTATCACTCCCAAATCAAATGTTGGAAACATGTATTTTATTGCCTTATGACTACAGTAAGAAGACTTGGATTTATCTCTTGAGAGAAAAATATGAAGCCTTAGATGTCTTTAAAAGATTTAAATCCCTTGTTGAACATGAGTATGGCTGCCTTATTTTGTGTCTTAGGACTGATAGGGGAGGTGAGTTTACATCAACTGAATTCAACAGTTTTTGTGATTCAAATGGGGTGAAAAGACAATTAACTGCAGCATACACCCCTCAGCAAAATGGAGTGTCTGAGAGGAAAAATAGAATATTACTCAATATGGTAAGAAGCATGATGAATGCTAGGAGTGTACCTAAGGAATTTTGGCCTGAAGCTGTAAAATGGGCAGGATATGTAATGAACAGATGTCCTACACATGTTGTGAAGGATGTTACACCAAAAGAGGCATGGAGTGGAGTGAAACCCTTTGTGCATCATTTCAAGACTTTTGGTTGCTTAGCTCATGTTCGTGTCCTTGATGTTCACGGAAGGAAATTGGATAACAATAGCATCAGTTGTTTTCTACTTGGTGTTAGTGAAGAGTCAAAGGCCTACAAACTCTACAATCCAATTGAAAGGAAGATAGTTGTTAGTAGAGATGTTGTTTTTAAGGAATCAAAAGGGTGGAATTGGAACAAGTCAGAGAATATCAAACAGAGTGATCAAATAAGTGATGTTGAAGACAATGAGGAGAATGAGATACAAAATGATGAGGATAAATTGGTCAGTAATGATGGGGCAGGAAGCAGTCATGGAGGAAGTCTTGTTGGTGAACATATAAATATCCATCTTCTCTTTTATTACTCTCTTCACCAATCTCTCTTAACTTTTATCCGTCTTCTCTCTTTTATAAATATGAAAATAGTTTAAAACAAATATAATTCTCACAATTCCTTTTCATTCTCTTCTCTTTATTTAAATATATTTATTACATTTCACAATGAACACATCTTTTATTGAATTTATTTTTCTAACAACACACTTCATGTATGTTTTTGGATTTTATGTTACAAGTTTTATCAAAATGAATATTCACTCTTATATTGAATTTATTTTCCTTTTTTTAGGTACAAGTCTAAGCACACTCTAAAGCATCTGATTACTAGAGCATATCAATAAGAGAAAATAGCAAAATAGCAAGGTGTTTCATGTATGCTTTTAGATTTTATCTTGTTAGTTTTATCAATATGAATATTCACTTTTACATTTGTAAATTAATATTATGTCGTTTTTACAAATTTTCCATTCAGGATGTTCAAAAGGATTTAACAAAGAACTAAAATTTATATTGTTAAATCACTTGATCAATTTTTGGATTAAAAAATAAGGACAATTATATTATTTTTTTTATATTTTTTTATTTATTTATTATTCATTCCACTAATTTCTTTTTTTATTTAGTTATTTATCATTATTCACTCCACTAATTAATTAACTTCTTATTTTATTTATATTATATATCACCTTAACTATCACTTCTTATATTTATTTACTTATTTATTATTATTTATCCCTCTAACTACTTATTTTTATGATTTTTATATATAAGATTTTATTACTATTTGTCATAATTTATTATGATAAACATAACCTACTTTTAAAAAAAAAAGCTAATTACGTGAAGAAAGGAAGGAAGCTCAACTAGTCTGAAAAAATCTGTTTATCAAAGAAAAACTTTTAAAGCAGAAATCTCGTCAGAACTGGATAAAGGAAGGAGACCTCAACACCAAATTTTCCATGGTATTATGAGAGAAACGAGAAGGTGTGACAACATTATTTCACTAGAAGCGCATGTAGGCAGGTTGGAAAGTGTGTCACAGATAAAAGAAGTTGCTTGCGTCCACTTTGAAGCTAGATTTTTTGAATAAGGTGCTAATCGGCCAAGGTTAGATGGTATTGAATTTAGGTCCCTTAGTGCTCTAGACAGTGTCAACTTGGAAGAAGTGTTTACAGAGGATGAAATCAAAGCAACCATCTGGGAATGTGACGGAGACTGAAGCCCGGGGCCAGATGGATTCAACTTCAACTTTCTAAAGAAGAGTTGGGACATCATTGAGGACGAGATTATTTCATTCATGCAAGAGTTTCACACTACAACTATCTTACCCAAAGCACTATCTACTTTCTTCTTAGCTCTTGTACCAAAAGTTCAAAATCCTTACACATTGGAAGAATTTAGGCCAATTTGCTTAATAGGGTGCCTCTATAAAGTAATTGCCAATTACTTGCAACAAGACTCACAAAAGTAATTGGAAAAATTGTCTCGAAATCGCAAACAGGATTTGTGCCATGGAGACAAATTCTAGACTTTGTGGAATTGAAATGAGAGACATTGCTAAAAGAAGGAAAAAATTGTATGCTATTTAAGGTTGATTTTACTCAGGTATTTGATTGTGTAAGCTGGGACTTCCTGCAATATTTACTTAGAAGATTTGGTTTCTGGCACAAATGGATAAGATGGATAGAGGAAAGAGTATTCAACAACATTATGCCATTTCTAATCAATGGCAGTCCCACGAAGGATTTCGTTGTGTCACGGGGATTACGACAACGCGATCCCTTATCAGCATTATTATTTGCTTTGGTAGCTAAATGATTGAAGAGTGGTATGTACAAAGGATTCATAGTGAATGATGAGGTCTCATATGGTTTGTTCCAATTCGCTGATGATACCATATTGGTAGGGGAGGGGAGATGGAGTAATTTGTGGGCCTTAAAATCAATAATGAGAGGCTTCTGAGATGGTATCAGGACTCCGCATCAATATGCACAACAGGAAACTGTATCGCATTGGATTGAGGATTCATTTAAATTTATAATTTATAACAATGTCGTTATATTTATTTATAAAAATCTAAAAGTTAAAATAAATTTGGTTCCATAAATTAAATAAATAACAACATATCATTATTAATATAATAAATTATTGTTAAAAATACTGATTTATTTAAATTAGAAGAAACTAACAACAAATTTATTCAAGAGTTTGAATTTTTTAAACATAAATATAATTAATATAAGATTGTCAATAACATATAAAAAATTGAGAAATTCATTTAAATGTATAATTTATAAATAATTTAAAATAAAGTCAAATACCTTTAAAATATATTTTATAAATTTTTGATTAAAAATATATAAAACATATAAAATATTCTTAGAACAAAAATTGGGTACCTAACTAAACAAAATAGTAGAGAAATTATAGTTTAATTACCTTAGAGTCAGATTTAATAGTGGTAAGAATTTTTTTGACATATACTGAATTATTGTTGGAGCAATTTGGAAGTGAATAGCACATATCTTTTGCAATCTGCAATAAAATTTTATGAAAATTAGTAAAATATTGTTATATGGAAAATAATAAAATAATATTATGTACATTAAATATCTAAGATTTAAATTACCGAGCAAAGTGCGGTGCTAAATGGAGAGTCCTTAATAAGAGTCAAGGTTATACAACAGAATTCAATAATCTCAGGATCTATGTGAGAAGACTCTGCTTTCTTCAATAAAATATCAGACCGGTTCGTTATATGCTCTAATAATTTTCTCACCATTTTCTTACCTGAGTCATCCTCCATCCTAAATAAATTATATATAAAATTGTATTTAATTACTCAAACCTAAAAATAAATTAACAAAATAGATAAATACAGGGCGGGAAGTACTTGCTGTAATTATTTGCAAGTTTCAGTGAAGGAATGAGCTTAACCAGAAATGTATCATTGGTGTTGGTGATTGGTAGATCGAGCAACATTCGAATGATGGAAATTATGATTTTGCAAAAATCAACATAGTGCCTTAGTTGGACATTTTCCATCTCATCCAAGAAATTTAGCCCATAAATTTTGACACGAATCTCGAAGCATAGTAGAATTTGATATCTTAAATACAGCTCATCCACTTTGTTGGACAAGTGATGCTTGGGATGAAGTATTCCAAATTTAGTTCGGGCTAAAATGAAAAGTGAAAAAAGACCAAACATTTGTGCAAGCTTCTCATCATCAGAGAACTTGTACACCTGATGCTGACTGAGATACTCGTTGAGCTTCGAAACAAAGTGAGATAGTAAGCTATCTTGATGTTCAATGGTGCTAGAGTCTGAGTCCATGACACTATTGAGGTGTTGGTAAATTTCTTTGCTTAATCTTTTTGAAATCAGAAGCTTCTAGCTTCAAAATCTCTGAATACTCAAACATTTGGAATAGCTTCCTGCACAGTTTGCAATGTGCTTGATCCCTAAACATGTATTATTCAATAATATATTCAGTTTCTATCACCATAGTCATTGACATATTTGTATTCTAAAAACAACAAATATTGGTATCAAGCAAGCAGTTTTTTATAACAAAGGAACATTTGTAATAAAAAGGAAAACATTGATCCATAACATGATAGCATAGAATAAAGTTTCAAATTTCTTACAGAAAAGGATCTTCCATCCTAATTCAACTGCTTTAGGGCCTCCCCCTAGGTCTTCAAACTCAACTGCTTTAGGGCCTCCTCCTAGGTCTTCAAACTAGGCCGGAGCTTTTGTTTATGAAGTGTGGGTAGTAGAAGAAAAGCAAATGTTGTAGTCAAAACTGATTCAGATAAAGGAGTGAAGGAACCTAACACATTGGAGGTTGTGTTTCGGTTTAGTCAGAAGTAGAGAAGAAATGGAACTAAACACAAAAGAAACAAGTGGATTTTGAAATGGTACTTAGTATATGGTTTGACACTTGTTTTTGGTGATAGACAGCATCTAGTATGAAAACAGACAAGCTAGTGTTGCCTACAGCATAGTTCTTTTATCTGAGTTGTAGCTGAAAGAGGCAGTATTAGCTTAAACAATACCAGTTGTTGGTCAACAACAGTCCATGTAACAGTGTTTTTCACATATATGTATATAATTAAGTCTTTAGTAAAAATCTGTAGCAGTATATAAGTGTGACTAAAAATTGAGTAAGCCCTTTGATGTTATAATTGGTTCGTTTAACCACATGAAAAACAAACATGTTTAACACAATACAGACTTTATACTACCGGTCTTCTAATTTTCCTGCCATGTAAGAAAGATCCAAATGAATTTAACCCACTCAGATCAACAAAAGCATGCTAAATTACCTCGAGTATGTCATGGTCATCAATATTAATATTATCAGCTACAAATTGTGTAGACTCTTTGGGTTGGCGTGTGTACGTTGTATGATTGTTCACTGAACTATCTACAACCCGAGAGGTATTATAAATGACAGTTGGAGTTGTTGTGACATTAGAATGGTTAAGCTTGTCATTCTCATTGTTTCCTTGTAAGGAAGTTGTTGTCCTGTCGTTGTGAAACTGAGAAGTAACTTTAACATGCTTTCCGGGTTGGACGTAATTCCTGCTAGATGTCTGTAGGCTTGGAAGAGCAAGCCATGCCTATAGGAAATTGTTTCAAAGGAAGTCAATGCCAAACAATAGAAGTTTAAAATAAGAAAATCAAGCATTAATCAACGATTATTTTATGATACCTTATCAACTTGTCCTCTTTGTGAACTTGGAATATTTTGACCTTGTCGGACTACAAACCTAATAGAAGTGAAATTGTGTTAGAAATATAGCATACAAAAACATAACTGGGATAGTAACTGTACAGAAGATACCTGCTATTACGAGACCGGTCTTCTGGTTTCTTGGGACGGAAAAGAGGAAATTGGAGCTCAAAAATTTGGTAACCTAAAATAATGAGTTTCTGGTAACCTAAAATATTCAATGCTATTTTCATTTTATCTCCTACTTCATTTCTCTAATTTTTTCTATTTTATTTTAATTATTCACTAATTTTATATTTACTTGATTATTTAACTTAACTTGCAATTTCAATTTTTTTTTTTTGGTGATAGATATTTTATTTCGTTTTAATTCTTTGAATTTAGTCTCTTTTTTTTCATTTCTATTGACTTTCAACCTTAAATATTAACTTAAGTTTTGTATCGGTATATTTGAAAACGACTTACAGGAGACGAGAAAGAGACAAAAGATATGGCATCTCGTTCATAGCGTCTTTTCGGTCGTTCATTTTCTGGATGAGATGCTCTCTCCTTAGATATGTCGTACATGTCTTCAATAATTCATCCAAAGGGCGTGATTGTGGATTGATATATCTATAGTCTGCAACAATGTAGAAGGGGTCATAGTGAAGTTAACTTCACTCCCTTAAATATCATAATATTAACTATTCACTTCCATATTTTCTCAAAAGCATTTGTTATTCCCAAGGGGCATAGGTTACAAACTCAATGTGGCTATAAATATCTCAAACATAAAGTTGTCCCACCTTCATATGTGGGACAACTCTAGCCCACGTATTCATACGTATTGTGCTTTTAGAAAGTACAATTGGCACCCACCGTAAGGGACCAGTAAAATTGACATGGGTCACACTCATTCTTAATCATTGTTGCTTTCACCATATTCTCAAGAGGATATGCAAAGCTCCAAGATTATCGTTAACACCGTCATCATGTGAGCTAGCTCTAACCCTATAATAAATCTTAAAATCTCTAACACATAATCACCAAGGGTTGTCACATATTGTGCTTTCAACAAGTATAATTGGTGCCCAATAGGAGCCCAGAAAAATTAACCTACTCCAAAGGTATTGCTTCGACCCACTTTGTAAAATAATTTACTCCTACCAAAATGTATCTTTGGCCTTTAGATGAAGCAGGTCGAATTTCTCCAACTAGATCTAACACTCATCCTCTAAAAGGCCATGGCTTGATAATAAAGTGAAGTTCGCTTGTAGGAGCATGTTAAATACCTGCATGCACTCGACATTCCTGGCAACCTTTGGCAAAATTTATGCAATCTTTGAGTATGGTGGGCCAATACATTCCATATTGAAGTAGCAACCACTTCATCTTATAGCATGCTTGATATGCTCCACATGTCCCACTGTGCACACTGGATAATGCTAAGTATGTTTCACTTTCTCCTAAGAATTTAAGCAAGATTTCTTCTGGGGTTTTCTTAAACAATTCATTTCCCATCGGGACATGGGATAATGCTATATACTTAATTTTCCTTTTTGTATCTATCGAAGGATCTTTAAGGTAATTTATGATTGGGCTACGCCAATTTGTATCTGCTAAAGTATTGATGACCAATACTTTGAATTCTTCTTTACTAGCATAACCTAATTCTGAATCTTCCAAATCTAATGGGAATAATCTGGTAGCCATTGCTTTCCCCTTTACTTCAATTAGATCTTCAAGCTTTTTTGTTGACACTTTGTATCCCGAGGCAATTTGAGCCAAGTCATTTGCCTCTTAATTTTTTAATCTGAGGATGTGCTTAATATTCACATATTCAAATTTTTTAAGTAATTTATTGGCAATAACAAAGTACATGATCAAATTTACTTTTATGCACTTGTATCCTTTGTTATTTGCTTGATCACTAGTTCAGAATCTCCCTTGATTTTGACTCTAGTTGCCCCCAATTCCAACAAGGCTTCGAGTCCAGCTATTAATGCTTCATATTCTGCCTCGTTGTTTGAACAAAGAGGACCTTCGATCTTGTACTTGAGTTTTGTTGGAATTCCTTCAAGAGAAATGATTAAAATTCCAACTCCACTACCCTCCTTATGGGTCGAACCATCAAAGAATAATCTCCAAGGTTTCATTGCTTTTAAGGGTAAGAAGGCTAAGGAATACTCAGTGAGGGCTAATGCCCATTTGCCAATTCGATTGTGCAAGATTGGCTTAGATAACATGTGTTTAATAACATTAAAATATGATGAAACATAAACATCAACAGGATTTATATAATATTTTAATTTGGTACAAGAGAAATACAAGCAGATACATAGCTTCTCTATAGTGTTATATCTTGTTTCTGCGTTATTTAAAACCCTACTAAGATGATAAAAATGGCTCTTTCAATGCCATTATCATCTTCTTGTGCTAACATACTACCTACAATTGCATTAGAAGTTGATATGTACAACCTCATGGGCTTGTTCCTAGAAGGAGGTGACGAGATAGGAGGATGTACTAAATACTTCTTTATCATGTCGAAAGCTTTTTGATGCTCTTTATTCCATTCGAAATTCCCTTGCTTTAGACGAAGGAGGGGAGAAAAGGCTTGAGTTCGACAACTTAGGTTAGAAATAAACCTCCTTAAGAAATTTATCTTCCCTAATAGTGATTGTAATTCTTTTTTTTGTCGATGGCGCTTTCGCTTCCATGATAGCCTTTGTTTTATTCTAATTTATTTCTATCCCATTCTTATGGACCATAAAGCCTAGGAAATCTCCAGCCTGCACAAAAAAAGCACATTTAAGAGGATTCATCTTCAAGCCATGTTTTCTCATTCTTTCGAATGATTGGCGAAGGTGATCCATATGACTTTCATCTGATACAGATTTAATCACAATATCATATATGTAAACCTGCATAAAAGTTTCGATGAAGTCATGAAAAACGGAATTCATTGCTCTTTGATATGTTGCCCCAACACTTTACAGGCCAAAAAGCATTACTACGCATTCATAGGTACCTATTGCCCCAGGGCATCTAAACGTTGTTTTAGACACATCTTCTTCAGCAATGTAGATCTCGTTATACACAGAATATCCATCTAGCATACTTAAATATTCAAAACCTGCAGCTGAGTCAATTAGCGTTTCTGCCACAGGCATTCGACATTCATCTTTAGGAGTTGCAACATTTAAATCACGAAAATATATGCAAACTCTTAAAGAGCCATTTTTCTTAATAACTGGAATTATATTTGCAATCCATTCAATGTACCTTGTGGTCCTTATGAATTTGCATCGAAGAAGTCTTTCAACTTCTTTCTTGATCCTTGAAAGGATTTCTAGAGCGAATCTTTTAGGCATTTGTTTGATGGGCTTCTTGCCATCCTTAATTGGTAGCCTCAATTCGACCAAGTCCCTTTTCAAACCAGGCATCTCGTCATAGTCCCAGGCGAAGCAGTCTTTATCCTCTTTCAACAGTTCGATCAATTTGGCTTTCAATCCTGGGCTAAGCTTTGCGCTAATGTAGGTGACTTTCTTTACGCTATCATCTCCAATATCTACTTCTTCAAGGGGATCATGCGCCAGTATCTTCGTGCTAATGG